ATAACACATCGAGCAACAAAATCTAGAAATGTCAAAATTTTAGAATTTAGAACAGGCATTGGAAGCAGAATTTAGAAAGGCACCAGGCAGCAGAATTTAGGATCAACAGAGATTGTATCATGTGGGAAAATGTCCCGTATATGACACATTAAGACATGTTAGATGAATCGTTTAAATTGTCAGTTTTCAATTTCTTTAATAAAAAAATTCTTTTCTATAATGCCTGTCCATATGATAAGATTAGAAGCATTTTTGATATTTTATGCGTGTCTAGTGAAAAGAAGAGAAAATAAAGGGAAGATAAAAATGTTAAGAAAAAGATTCTAGTATCAGAAGTAAAACATTCAACTATTGTGTTTTCATTGTTCTTCCAGACGTTCTCCAAAAAGTAAGGAATTATTGATTAATACCATAGAGACATTTTTCAATTTTTCATTTTACCACATTTTTCTGGAATCTTACAGAAATCTTGCCTTCAAATCTTTCTTAACTTTCCAAGCTGCAATGTCTACAATCTTAAAGAAAAATTACCCCTACTAATTCCGTAATAGCAAAAAGCCATAAATATTTTGAAAAAAATATATATATACAGTAAAAGTCTTTAATCTGGAATGATCTATAATCCAGACCTCAAAGCTCAAACTTTCTGCGCATGTGTCAACGCATAATGCATTGATGCATGTGCATATGCATTTACGCTTGCACATAATATGTTTACGCATGCGCGTTTAATGTATAACGGACGGTATAAGCTAAGCTAAAATTATCTAATTATCTATTTCAGGTAATGTTGCAGATTGCATTGTTCCTTAATCTTCGAATTGGATCCGGCTTATTATTTTTTGCAGACTGTTAGAGCAATTTTATAAAAGCTGGAACTTTCGGTTATGTAAAAAAGAATTTCTGATTATGGAGCTGCCAAAGGATCTACAAAACGAAAGCATGTTTCGATGTCGATCAAACAAAAGTGGAATTGCTGCAAAAAATGGATAAAGGCATATCCTTTGTTTCTCTAACCTTTCCAAAACCTATCAATTTTATGCTGCTCTGTGTGGTGAGGGGGGGGTCGCGACGCTCAATGAATTGGAAGTTGATCTATCAGCACTATCCTTATCGTCAGGGCAGATGTTTTTATTTATTTGACTTATAATTCCTTACTAAATGTAGTATTTCCTCTCGATGTACTCCGTCTATGATATGATTTAAATCAAATTCCTTGTCATTATAAATATCACGAATACACATCAAATAGTTTTCTGGTTGCAATTTTCTAATTTGGACTATGCGTAATGTATGCTTTACGCACGCGCGCATTGAAAGAAATGTTTAATAAAGTAAGCAAATAAATATTAAGCTTTTTTTTTTTTTTAAATTTTGATACCCTTTAGATCATAATTGCTCTTTATTTCAGTATTGTATCAGTATCAGTATTTCCCATTTACAATTAATCACTATTAGTCAGTATTGAATGAGTATTAATATCAATAAAAGTGTTGTATGAGTATCAATATCAGTAACGTGTATCAGTAACAATACTTAACTGATATTAATACTCATACAAGAGTATTAATATCAGTTAAGTATTGTATGAGTATTAATACTAGTAAAGTATTGTATATGCATATTTGCTCGTGCATATATCGCATGAGCAATAAAAACAGTCTTACAATCAGTAAAGTATTGTATCCTAATATATCAGCCTTGTATCAGAGTGTATCAGTTATATTTCATCAGTAATGTACAAGTAATGTAACAGTAGACATTGATCTATGATATTTTAATTCTCATTTTTCTTTTTTTTTGGGGGGGGATCTCTGTAACGTATAATTTCGTGGATTTATTTACCGACTTGTGCAAAATCATTCCCATTTCATCAGTATTAATATTCAGTTTTATATCAATGTTGATAATGTAGCAGTATTAATCATGTTAATATCAGTACCAGTATATATCAGCCTTTAATCAGTTCTGCATCTGTCATATTTTGCATCAGTAATATACCAGTAATGTATCTTGAATATTAATCTGTAACTCTGTAACATGTTATATTGTATGTCTTGTCGTGCATGTTGATTACCTTTCAGGTGGCATTATGTATCTTCAAGGGGTGCTATAGATAGTACAAGAAATGTAACAGTAGAACATTCGTGATATTTTAATTCGCAATATTTTGAGTCTCTGTAACGTATTATTTCGTGGATTTATTTACCGACTTATGCAAAATCATTCCCATTTAATCAGTAATAATATTCAGTGTTATATCAATGTATCATTACTGTAGCAGTATTAATCAGTGTTAATATTAGTATTATATCAGCCTTTTATCAGTTCAGCATCTGTCATGTTTGTATCAGTAATGTACCAGTAATGTATCTTGAATATTAATCTGTAACTCTGTAACATATTATATTGTATGTCTTGTCGTGCACGTTGAATACCTTTCAGGTGGCATTATGTATTTTGAAGGGGTGCTATAGATAGTGGTGCTATACTAATTAACCATTTGATAAAGGGATAGTGCCCACGTCCTCCGTTCTCTCTCTCTCTCTCTTTATTTCAGAAATTACGGTTTCATATTTTTAATTTCATAATTTCTGCATGCCATTTTACCAGATTTAAACTGATGATCTATAATTCGGAAAAACCCGATAATCCGGAATCGCAAAAGTCCCTACAAGTCCAGATTAAAGACTTTTGACTGTATAGTTATATATCGAACGAAAAAGTGTAAAATTAATTTTATAGAGAAAACTGATGCATATTCTGAGAATTCTGAATATTCCGAGACAATTACATGAGAACACTCTTACCATGAAAAAATTAAAAAGACATTTTTAATTAATTACATAGCTATTCTGCTTTTTCTAAGAACTGTTTCATAAATTGTGCTTTATAGCATTTATACCTTGCTTATTTTTCAAATTCAAAATCTTGTATAATAAGTGGCCAAAATGGAACTTTATAATACAACAGCAAAAAATAAAATACTTTATTCTAATGTTATTTCTTAAATGTAATTGCAATATATTACCATTATTTTAATGAAATTTATCAATGTTACAATGTTCTAAAAAAGTCGTCGAAAAATTCTCAGATCTCGGTATTAAAAATTTTCTATAGAAATTTATCTTAAAATCGCCAAAATGTTGCTAAGTCACCAAATTTAGAGCAATTTAATAAAAGAATTCACATCCCCAAAAGCCTAAATTTGTTTAAGAGCTCTTCACTAGAAAAAATGAAATAATTTCGAAATGCTTGTGTTGCACTTCTTGCTCAGAAACTCTATCCCACCATTTATATTAGAAATAGGAACAATTTATAACCCATGAACGCATTCACCTATTCAAAAGATAACAATATTTGTCAGCGAATTGCAAAAAATATTCCTCCAAAATGCTAATTCACACTCAAAATGGCAATCGAAAAAACAGACAGAAATTTCAAATTAAAAGTAAGGATCTTCTGCCGATTTTGGCCGAAATTAAGGACTTTTAAGGACCAAAAATTGATTCCAAAAAAAATTAAGGACTTTTAAGGATCTTAAGGACTGTACGAACCCTGGTTTTAACGAAAGTTTACCGGCAACTGCAAATATCGTCTGTGAAAACAATTTGTGTTGGTGTGTTTAATCATATTTTGTCAAACAATTTGGATTTTTGGCATTTGAAAGAAAAAGACTTGCTTCAGAACAAAGTTGTGAAATTCGTAAAATAATATCATTAAGTACAAGGTGTCTGAAATGGAACTATCAAACTACCAGATTAGAACCATCATTTACTTCCAGTTCTGTTGCAAAAAGTCAGCTACAGAATGTCACCAAATCATGCATACAGCTATAAGTACTAATTTTGCATTATACGACAACATTTTTGGTACCTAAAGTTCAAAAACAAAGACTATGACATTCAAGAAGGAGAGTGCTCTGGCCGGCCTATTGATGTTGATAAGGCCAACCTCCAAGAAATTGTGGAAGAAGATCAGTATGCAACCACTCGAGAGCCTGCTTAGACATTAGTGTCAAAAAATGCAAACTGAGAAAACCCAGTTTAAAGAATGTAAACTATCTAAAAGGTCATAAATCATTTTAAATTTCTTAAATATTTTATTCTGAATTTCAATAAATATATATATATTATAAAACTAGTGCTATTCAATTGGTTAATATAAACTAAATTACAAGCTTTTATTAAAATCTTTGTAAAACATGTTCAAAACAATTTAATAATGATTAAATTATAATATATTTTCTAAAACATTTATAATCATATTAAATCATCTATAATAATAATATTAATTTTCGTGTTATTAATTTTTTCAAAAATCAAAGTTTGAAATTTTAACAGCTACAAAGCATTTTATTTAAAAGTACCATTCACCAGCATATGCGATTGCTTTTCTTCTTTTAACCATTTGGTCTCATATATAAATTGCATCTCAAATTAATTTAGGTGTATTTTAATTAATTAAAGAGTTAAACTCTGATGATGTTCTATTATAGCAGTCAATGTCCCCCCCCCAAAAAAAAGTAAGCAAACGTTAAAAATCTACCAATCCGATTCACATTTGTGACATCATTGCAGTGGCTTATGGGTTAAAAGATGGAAGATGATATGCATCTGAACTGGTCCTGAAGGCGAAATTGCTTCATACCCCCATTTCTCCGTAATACAAACAGTGGCTGTGCAAAAGAAAGTTGCATGTGAATGGGGCTAAAGTGTAAAATAGTGCTTCCCAAACATTTTAGTCTTGTGATCCATATGCATCTAATTTATATCTATATACCTCTAAATACTTTGAAGAAGGGAAGAAACAAAATCCAAAAGAAAATAGTGTAATAGCGAAGTAATATAAATAAAGATATATAACTATTAAATACATACATTCAAAATAAGGGTAGGAGTATCTAAACAGCAGAAAGGAAGACAAGATATTCTGTCTTTGAAAAGCTACAAAATCTAAAAATGATTTGCAATACATAAATTTTAAAATATAATACATACCGAGATTCAATCATCATGGCAGCTGCTTGCACTAGCAAACGCATCTGATGGTCAGTGTTGTATGCTCTGGCACATGCAACATTTTCCAGAACTGCCTCATGTGACAAATTATATCTAAAAAGTACACATCATTGAAAAGGGATAAAAAATAATTTTGAGATTTCATACATAAAATTTTAAATGAATTATTGCATACTAGCCTTGTTAAAAAGCAATCATTAAAATGCATTGGCTATGCAAGGTCCCACAATCTTTCCATATATAACACACTAATTTATCTACATGCAAATTTGCCTTGCTATGAATTGTAAATGCATGTATGATATTGACAGAATGAAATCAATAAAACTTTATATAATGTTGAAATTCTTTTTCATATTAATCTTTCCAAAAAAATTTAAATTCTTATATCAGGAAATATAATGCTCATATTTGGTATCCCTTGATAAAAAGAGAGCTCATAATTATATTATGAGCAAAGATGTCTCTCTTTCATCCCCACAAAACATTTTTAACTTTACACTTGTAAGGTATTTTCTCCCTCCTTACTGCATGCCTTCATGGTGCAATGGGAAAGCATGTCTGGCTAGCAATCAGAAAGTCCATGGTTTGAATCCTGGCAAAGGCACTGTCCATTTTTCATGTCTCTTTCTTTTATGAAAACCGTACTGACTCTACAATCTTAATTATACAATATCAGGACTTTCTTCACAACATGCTTTGGTCATATTTAAAAAAAAAAAAAAAAAAAAGCTATAAATGCTCAATAAAGATTAACATTTATGCTGAAATAATAATAATAATTTAATTCATATAGAGGTGGATTCCTAATGTGATGTGGTAACTAGTACATACTATTTTCAGGCTTCACTTCCCTTACAAATGTACAGATAAACCATCAGTTATTGCAATTATGTATTTGCTTTTCTTACCGCTTGAAAATTTAGATTGTAAGAGGAAGTGCAAAAAATGGAAAAGCTGAAGCAGTTTTAACTTTGATTCACTAACATCTGTGATAAAGATTCAAATAATTAAAACTTCAAAAATGTAATGAAAAGGACATGGTTAATAATAATAATAATAACAAGCTTAATGGTGAAAATATGAGTTAAAACAAACTTATGATATGAAAAACAGTTTACAAATGCATGCCATCTATTATCAGGATTCAATTACTGAAAAATATGAATGATTAAATAAAAACTCTCTAAGAATTTCCATCTTGATTTATATATAATTATATTGGCACTTTTCTGTTATCGGGACCATATTCACAAATGCACGTATGTATGTATGCATGCACATATGCATGTATGTGTACAAACACACACATATATTTCTGAATTTGGTCTCAATAGCGTAACATTTTGCCTTCCCATATTTTTAAAGCCAGATTTTACCATAATAGCATACAGATACCAGCTGGTATTAAGAATTTGATGGCCAGGGTATCTCCACCAGTTAAGTTAGACCTACATATTGACCAATGAAATAATATTTAACTGCAGACATTGACCTTTACAATATGTAAATATAATATTTACCGCTTACAGGTAGCTATCAGTCTTTCAGGTCGTAAAGTTCCTTCTGTATCAATATACAGACATTTTCCTTCTCCTCCATTATAATCTATTGGCAGCTAAAAATAAATTTCATGTTAAATACAGAATGATTTGTGTTTACAGCAAGTATGGCAAGAATTTAATAATCATTTTGATGCTTTTTGCATACCAAAGGAAGTCACATAGAACACTGGGAGAGGGGAAAAAAAAAAAAAAAAAAAAAAAAAAAAAAATAGATCTTTTATTTCATGTACTACTTCTCACTTTGCAGCAATAATGAAAATAGGCAAATAACTTTCAATAACCCTAAATACTAATTATGATGATATAATTATTCGCTCACATGATACTTTTCTATCACATTAAATATGTTAAAAATCATCCCCCTCACACTAGGCTCTTGCTAATTTTGCTTTTGCAACAGAAGCCTGAACCCAGCTGTCATTTCACTGTCTCTGAGGTGCATCATGTTGTGTAGAATTATATTGCACCACAAGAGACAACAGACAAAGTTTTCATAATTTGTTTATGTTTAGTTTAAATTAAAGTAAGTTATTTAATGATTAATCAAACATTTTAGAATTATTTTAAAGAAATGTCAGTCTAGTAATTTATAATCTGTCATTATATTTGAGTTACAAAGTGCAACCAACAAAAAATGTCTTGTAGGTACCAAACTTTAGATTTCAGAAAATATTAATGATAACAATAATTTTGAAAATTTTTTCCTTTGCAACATTTTTCTTCTCCTTTATGTATGTTTTGATAAATATTTAGTAAGTGAGATTTAAAATTTATTTAAAATATTTTTCATTTTGTTAAAAAATTCTGGCCAATCAGCTGTTTTTAGTTGTAGATTGTAAATTCAGTCTGAATGCAATTTGAGACCACTGGTCCACTATGACTTATGTACATCTTGTAACTAATACACAAGAACTTTCTGCTATTCAAACTCCGTTTTCACCTTTTCGTCGAAAGGACTTTTTTAATAATAAACTTGCACCATTTATTATCTATGTACTAAAATTTACTCTTTGATTCCTTAAAGAAAATCAATAATAAGGGGGAAATACACCTATCAAGCAAAGTATGTAATCTTGCTGACACTAAAACCCATCAAATTTGAAGGTCAAAATTGCTGCTCATCTAATGTACACATACACATGCCCTGGTTGTCATATAAATATATTTTGACAACATCATATGTTGCCTGTTTTGGTGACTTAGTACATTGTCTTGCAAATATTTTTCAGGAGATGTGGATAATCAGAAAGTACCTAAAAAAGTCCCCATTAGAAAATTCTTCACAAGTCTTTTTTTAAAAAAGTTTGAAAACTAACAATGTATTCATACAAATTATTTTCTAAAAATGTTCATGAAGAAATTTAGAAAAATATTTCAGAAGATAAAATTTACAAAATAGCAGATAGGATGCACGATAATTATCCTTCAAAGAAAAATTCAAGTACTGTATAACAAAATATTGCATAATTTATAAACAGAAGCTTTAAAACATGAAAAATGAAGTATAATTCAAATCCTTAACTTCAAATCATAAAAGCTGAAATTTAATATACAGTGGAACCTCGAGATACAAATTTAATTCTTTCCAGCATTGTCCTATACCGAATTTCTCGTATCTAGAAACAAACTTCCCCACTCAAAATAATGGAAATCCAGTTAATCCGTTCCACATCCCCAAAAATATTAACATAAAAATCAATTTTTGTAATAAATAACACTCATAAATAATATAACCGTAGTTTACTTTTATGAAGACTCATAACTGGTGATAGGGATGTGGGAAGATGAAACGGGTTACTTTGGGGAATAGAGAGTCCCCCTCTGATTCAGGAAGGCTCTCTCTTCTTAGGAATTTTACCAAACTGGAAGCAGGTTCTGTGTCAGAATCCTTTAACTTTTTTTATTGCAGGTTGTTTTACCAAAACTTATCTAATAACCCTTGCTTCTGTCTCCTTTTTAAGAGGCCTCTAAAATGCGACACTATACTGTCATTACACAAGTTCAGGGTCCACCCACACACTGCTTTATTAGGGTGATTTTCTTCAAAGAAAGTTCCTACTTTGTCAAAACTTCTTAAATTTTACTGGAAGAAAGGGCCTCATCTCCTGTTCCCTCCTCTCCTATCGAAAGCTCTTCTACCACCTCTTGCTGCTCCTTGAGAAGTTCTTTAAGTTCGTCCGTTTAAGCTCTTCACTATGCTCCTCCATTAATTCATCCAGATCAGCACCATCCACATCCAGATCCATACTTTTCCCCAGAGATACACTTTCTTCGACTAGCTGCACTGTGTTGCCCACAGGTTGAGAAATGAAACCTAAGTCAGTAATACCCTGAGGCCACATTTTTTCCTAAGTTGAATTCAGGGTCCTCACTGAGACATCTCCTCCCAAGCCTTACCAATGAGGTTTAAACAATTTAAGATGAAGTGATCCTTCCAAAATTCTCTGAGGGTCACACTTATATTTGTAGCCACTTACAAGCACCTTTGACGCAAGGCCTTCGTGTACAGCTTTTTTAAAGTTAGAAATAACTTACTGGTCCATGGGCTGGAGAAGTGGAGTGATGTTGGGAGGAAGAAACTTGACTTTTATGAAGTAAAACTCCTCAAGAAAATCACCTTCAAGCCCTGGAGGATGTGCAGGAGCATAATCACGGACGAGCAAAACCTTGAGTGGCAACTTATTTTTGTGAAGTTATTTCTACATTGAGGAACCAAAAACTTCATTGACCCACTCGATGAAAAATTGCCATGTTACCAAGGCTTTGCTATCGGCTTGCCACATCACATTCAGTTGGTTTTTCAGTACCTTCCTCTTCATCAAAACTCGTGGATTTTGAGTGGTAGATGAACAATGGCTTGATTTTACAATATTTACTTGTATTGGCGTAAAACAAGAAGGTAAGCCTATCTTTCATTGGCTTGTGGCCAGGCAAAGATTTCTCGTCTTGCGTGATGTAGGTCCTCTTTGGCATTTTCTTCCAAAAAGGACCTGTTTCATCATAATTAAATAATTGCTGGGGAAGAAAGCCCTCACTAGTAATATACTATAGGAACTGTGGCCTAAATTTATCAGCAGAAGCTATATTTGCGCTCATAGCCTCTCTATGTCGCGCAACACTGTGAACAACAGTTCTGTTTTTAAATTTTTCAAACCGTCCACAGCTTGCCTTAAATGCCATCTCATCTTCAGTTGACATACCTGGTGTTTTTCGGAGAAGGTCCAAGTATAGATTCTTAGCCTTAGCACACATGATAGCTTCAGACACCGAATTGCCTTTTAAGTGCTTTTCATTAATCCACACCAACAACAGCTTCTAGGAATTTTGGATGGTGCTTGGAGCTAACAGTAACTCCTTTGGCCACATCAAGTTTCTTAATTTCTTCCTTTTTCTTCAGCATAGTGCAGATTGCCGATATCGAATGGCCGTAAGTCTTCGCTAATTCCATCACTCTAACACCATGCTTATGTTTATCTATGATTTCTTTCTTAATTTCAATAGCCATGGCTTCCTTCTTTTTCTCTGCAGCAATATGCTTGAGGCAACAATCTTCTTAGGAGGCTGCGCGAAATAATTATTTTCAAGTTAAATGTAAAAAACAATTAACTCACAAGCACACAAACATATTGATCAAAGAACAGTGAGATCTGACGAGGGGATTCCCCGAGTTGAGCCGGGCAGGGAAATGGCACCACGCATACCAACAGCCTAGCTCATTGCTCGAATTTCTCATATATAGAGGTGCTCATATTTCGAGCTTCCACTATACAAAATTAACAGTACTGAAAAAGTTAAAACACATAAGCAAAACCCATCAATAGTAATTCAATTATGTATGAAAATGAAAACATAGGTTTTATCAGAAATGTATGATGCAGCATATTTACTTGACAAGTAACTGCCAGAGTGTGGCATAATTGAGTTTTACCAGTTCGAAACTCTCCAAATATTTCAGTAATTGAACCAGTTTCAATACCACCTGCAGAAAATAGTAAAATAGAAATATTTGTATTCAAAGTGAGAAATATATTTCATTAAACTAATAAAAATTTAACACCCTTTCAAACAACATTTAATGTTTCAAAATATGTAATTTCAATTTCATGCATGCACAGTTAATGCGAGATTTTCATGAAATGATAACAGCCAAATGAAAATATTACACAGTCTTAAGTTAAGGGGAGTTGCTCAAGATAAGGGCAATTTAACAAATGTAGCATTTTAAATGGATACTTTTATGGAAAACAAATTGTATCAAAATAGAAAGAATGCTCTAACATATCTTCCTGCTTTGATGTTGGTGGATGAAAGTCACTTTTAGTATAATCAGAATAATATTATATTAATTGATAATTAAGATTACTTGATGATTTTTCGTTACTTATTTATTAGCACAACTACCTTGGCTATGTCTGGCAGTTATTTACTGTACAGAAAGGTGATTCGGTAAATTTTTGGATTGCAACTTTCAATGGGTATGGTTACCTAAAGAACTGTTATGTGCATGGTTGCCAGAGTTTGGTCGACTTCTGAAAATTTACCGATTTTGGTTAGAGTAAAATTAAAGGTGCCCCTCGGATTATCGCTATGTTGTTGTTTCATTTATCGCTAAGTTGTTGTCTCATTTATGGCAACCTGAGTAGTTGAATGCTATAGAAACCCTATTATAACGTAATTGGTTGCGGTGAATTTGAATCATGGGAAAAAATTTGGTAAGTTGGTGTCGGATTTGAGAAGGGCTTTTTATTTCTAGTACTTGTTATTTGTGTTTACATGGAAATGACTGATGTGTAAGTACTGAAGTTTCTGTATGATTTGAATGAAGGGAAACATAATTGAAATCGATATTTTTCTTCTTAGTTTTGACATTTTTGCGACTCCAGTATCATATTTTATTCATTTTAGGAAGTGTTTGGATGCTGTTAAGGATTTTGTTTGACTAAGGCGTAAATTCGCAATAAGTGAGTATATTTCCTTCAATAGTGCTAAATATTCCTTTTTTATATTTTTCATTGTTTGATTTAAATGTAGTTATAATATTATATATTTTTGTGGCTGCTCCTTGACTTTAAGGGAATTAGACAATGTTACAGAACAAATTAGGGATTGCGCATGCCTATTATTGCATCTCTCTGATATTTTTAAAGTGAATGTGTACATGGATACCGAGTTTGTGCAATTCTTTGACTTGTTATTTTGTGTTTGTGTAGCAGAGGTCGATGTGTACATGGATAGCGAGTTTGTTCAGTTCTTTGACTTATTATTTTGTCTTTGTGTAGCGGCTATTTTGGGGGGCACCCGTAAATATATTTTTACCGTGATTTCTACTAAGGTGATTGTGATAATACATAAGTACCGATTTGTCTTCTGCAAAACTTATATAGCAGGAAAACTCTGGGAGAGGGATAGACATAAGCAATTAATCAAGATGTGACATAATACCACATACCACAGAAATAGGAAAATGCCACTGGAATTAAAAGCTTTTAGAATCAAAGAAATTTAAAAAATTAACTTTTGTTTGCACTTTGAACTTTTTTGACATCTGTACATTTTTGTTTAAAACCTTTCAGTTTCATTTCTTTTTATCTTTTTGAAAAGTCTAAAAAATTAATTTTTCAACATCTACATTCTTCTTTAATATTTTCTTATTTTTAATACAACATGTGACACATTTTGCTAATGACAGAGGAGATATGGATTTTTCTACAGTTTATAATTATTGATACACTGCAAGAGGTAAAATGCTATCAAATAATTAAAACTATATAAAGAAACATCCTACATAATTTTGGATTTTTTTATATTTTGAAAGTTGGTAATCAGGTTTTTGGAGTTAGAATACAAAGATTTTGCGAAGAATATATCTGAATAGATAATCATAATTCTAAAACTACATCAGCATTAAATAAACAGCTGCATATAATTAAATATTCAACTTGGTAGCTTAAATGATAATCATCAACATTAACAATAATTTTGTTTCAGTTTGAGCTATACTGTCTTTAAAGTTTGATCAATATTTCAAAGAACACAGGCACTATCTCTCTAAGGACAAGAATATCTTCATGGAAGATTTTTCTGAGGGAAACTGGCTCATATTTACATTACATATAGGGAAAATATGGAAATCATGCAACCAAGAGGTTTACCCTGGGTTTGAACTGCCCATATTCAGCAGTCTTATCCACTCGGTCACTGTTGGAATCCATTTAAGTATTAAGCAAATTTAAAACTTCTAATTTGAGGGATCACCATTTTCAATAAAATTAAATATTCTAAAAACAGTAAAATTACGTTAAAAACCTATAATAAAGAGGTAAACAGATAATCATACCTCCTAGAAGCTTATCAAGTTCCTTGGATCCTGTTGTGATTTGAATCAATTCTGATCTTCGCATATAATATTCTGTGGCAGTAGTGAAACCCATGGGAATAAGTTTCACAGCTTCTGCCTAATTTTGAAGAAAACATATTTTGAATAAACACATAGCAAAATACACACAATTTTAATCAAGGAGAGAGGATTTATGATACAGAAAAAATTACACTTCTGATTCAATAACTGCAGTTTCAGCTGTCTAATGTATAGCAGACAAATTAAATCTTTTTAAATTAAAGTTGAAATAATAACTAAATATAAAATCTGCCAAGTGAGATGATTTCAACAGTTCAGCTGTCCAAATGTATCGCTGCAGTATTTCAATGGCAATTTTAATCACAAGCAAATAAATATGCAAAATTTGAACCAACGTTTTACAGCTTCAATAAAAATATCCTTCAGACTTCTTTTGAAATCATCTATAATGTAACATAGGAAAGAGAGTATGTCATCAGTATAGCTTTGTACTGTCATTGTGCAAAGCATAAGATTATTTATGCCTGAAATTTAATCAGAAACTTGGTGATAAGTATTTTGTCACTTTCACAGGTACTAGAAAGAGTGGATGGTGTATAGAAAAAAAAGTAACAATTTTTCTTTAAAAATTATTGTTATTAATTTATAAATTAAATTATTTAAAAGCAATAAATATAGATTCATTTCAACTGCTATTAATTATTAACTGGACTTGCGAAATGACACTAAGGGATTCATTAAAATCATCTACGAGTATATGTATAAAGAGTGCTCATTCTAATCTCAAATCTTGACTAAATTTGTTCCATTTGGCCTTGAAAACAAAGGGAAGGTTATCTACATACAATTCTGAAAAACCACCCCACACAATCCTGACTCAAGGCATTTATATTATGCACTCATACCACCAATCATAGGTTCATATTGCCTCTGTTGCATTACTGCTATTAGTGGAAGTCAAACATTTTAAACAAAGAAGGTATTTGGCTTCTGCAGCAGCCTTGGCAAGAATGTTGATTTGACACATTTCTGCACTGAAAAAAAACAAATATGTATAGTTATGATCAGGAGATATGCATTTTTCCTAGCACTGTTTTTAAAATATAACAATTTTTCATTCATGCTCGTAGCTCACATTTCTTCAATCGGTGAAAATTTTTGCTTTTAAAACAGTGTTTTTTCAGTGGTTACTAATCTGCACAAACGTATTTCTTCTGCCTTTGATTTTAAAATATAATGGCTTTTTGTGCATGCCTATAGTTCATGCTTCTTCGGCTAGCAAAAATTTTTGCTTTTAAATTATACTAGTTTTTCACTGAAAATATTTGTCATGCTTATTACTTTCAATCTATTACTATAAATTAACTGAATTAATGCTTATTACTATAAATTAACTGAAAAGAAAGCCATAGTTTTTTGGGGGGCAAAAAAAGGGCATTTTATCAAAGGGAAAAATTTATTAAAACGTGCATAATACGGAATTATATGCTGGAAAAGAAACTATTTGACACTGTAATCTCAGCAGCAAGCAGAATGCTTATGTGGATCAATGAAATGGCAGAACAAGCAGCACAGATGCTCAGCTCACCATCACCTGGAGAGTATCTAACAGAGTTTATGGTCGTCTAACTTTGTTTTTTTTTCTTTAGTAGCAGCAACTGCTGAACTGTGGCCATCAAAAAGAATTTATGAAAAATGAATTTTCCAGTATGCATTATTCTTTGATAAACTGCTAATTAAATTGCATGTTATAATAAATTAGAAACTTTGAAATTGATTTCATCTGAAAATAATGAGTATTTTATAATGAAAAAAAAAAAAAAAAAAAAAAAAAACCAGTATATCGACAAACTGCAATTACGGAAAATCAATTAAATTGTTTTAGTTTCTCACACTCATACAGAAAACTGTAACCATTTGTTTCTCACCAAGGCTACTGCAAAAGACAAGTAATACAAGGAATTTAAAATAAATAAATAAATATTAATATTTCTACTCAGTTTGAATTTTGAAACCAAGTCACCCATCTTAGGTTCACATTACAGTTGCCAAGTTCCTACTATCAGTTCCTATTAACACCATTAAATCCGGCTGTTGTTGATTTACTCTTTAGAACAGTGCAAAACCTTTAAAGCAAAATTTAAGTGCACTGTCTATCAGATTTTTTAGAATATTTCAAAAATGATAAAGAAATTGGTCAGAAAGGATTGCGAAGTTTGAAAGCTCATTTCTGAAAAAAGACATAACCAACTGCAAAGCAAGTACCAGGTCTTGTTAAAACCTCTACACAATGCAACATTAGTTTTACAGTTTTATTAAAGCTTGAAAAAAATTTTGCACTATTCATCTTTAATCAAAATAAGAGAAAAATTATTGTCTACCTGAGATTTTGAAAAAAACTACCTTCATCCTCTTAATGAAGCCTCATTACTCTGAGTAAAGTCCGGGCAATGTCAGGTACATCAGCTAGTTTAAAAATAACATTTTTGTGCATAATGCTATGCATTTCAAAATTAAGATAAAACTTTCAAATACTTTAATTTCACATGTAACTGTATGAATACCATGTTTCTTGTAAATGAGACTGTGAAGAACAGGTTCAGCTTTTTACACTTCCACTTTTCAGAATTAGGTTAAAACTTCACATGCCTTCTGATTCAGGTGTTGTTTACAAATATCAAACTCTGGCAGTTAAGTCATGGACTGTCCAGTATTTATTTATAATATTATTAAAACACCTGTATGAAGAGCAATGATCCTACTGTTTCAACAATTATAAGTTGATGGGATTAACAAGAAACACAGATTAGGAAATCAGCAGAACTGGTCAAAAAACATAAGTATGCAGTTGCAAATCTGAAAGTATCAGGAACCAAAGAAGTCACCAATTAAGTCCTGAGCAACTTTCATCTTCAAACAATGGCATATATTTAGTTTGGAACACCCTCTGTGCTTCATGTTTATTATTAACCCTTTGACGCGCGGTGGTCGCGCCCTGAAACCACCAATTTTCGAATTTTTTTTCTCCTCTTTCTTCGGAAATTTGTAAGTGAAAATAAATTGATTACTGATCTTTGATCTCTAAATAACACAAAATGACTACAGAATCATACATGTTTTAGGTCTTAGTACTTCAAATCAGATGCCTTTTAAAATTCGTTTTCAATGAAACAAAATAACTTCTTTTTATTAATATAAACAACTTTAAATTACAAAAGTTATTCATCGCACATCATGATTTCTATCATAAAGAATAAAAAATAGCAATAATTAAACTGCATATATATATATTCTATATATATATATAGAAAACCCTCTATACGTATGGCATTTGCTTTGTGGTTTCAGGGCGTGACCACTGCCCCACTAGAGCATTGTGTCACAATGCTCTAGAGCAGCGGTCGGGAAACCGGGGTAAATTACTCCAAATGGGGTAAAAATGAAACTTTTGTGAGTAAAAAATATATATTTTTAATTTGCTATTTTATAAACCTGTTAGTATTTTTTTCAACTTGAACAATTTAAACAATTGAAAATTTAATTCAAGTATATTACAACTTTTGTTTTTTTTCTCCCTTCAGATGGCAGCAAATAGAAAAAGAACACGACGAATTCCTTAATTACGGTTTTATACAAATAGAAGACAATGGTACAATGAAACAACAGTGTGTTGTATGTATGAAGGTACTGACTTCAGAATCGTTCAAAAAAAAAGTCAATTGAAGAAACAGTTAGATAATTTGCATTCACACCTGTCTTCCAAACCGCGAGAATATTTTGCAAATTTAGAAATATCTGTTAAAAGACAAAGATTGAATAGCAACTTGTTTGGTACATTTGATCAGCGTTCAGCATCAGGGGCTAGCTTTGAAGTACCTGGTATTGCTCGAATAAGAACCAACCTATGGTGAAGATTTTGTTAAACCAGCTGCTGTAAAAAATGGCAGAGATTATGTTTCAGAAAGAAGCGAGAAACTGAATTCAGTGCCTTGTCTGCGGAATTGTGAAAGAACGAATTTCTATTAGCAGAAAATGTGAAGGACAGGTTTTTTTCACATTAAACAGGCTAAATATTTTGCTATTCAGCTTGATGAGACAACTGATTTTAGTAGCAATTCACATCTAATGGTATATGCTCCTACAAAGGTGAGATAATTTTGAGAGGATTGTTTTGTTCTCCTCTCGAGTGAGATCTCAAGGAATTGATGTCTACAATAAAGTAAATATATTTCAATGCGCAAAGTTTAAAACGGGAAAACTGTATTTCTGTATCTTTGGATGGAGCTCCAGCTTTGCTGGGTCATATTAATGGTTTTTCGGCTTTCGTAAAAAAAAAAAAAAAAAAAAAAAAAAAAAATTAAAGTTACTCCTATGATCCATCGCCAGGCTTATGGTCAAATTTGAACCTACACTGGAAGCCGTCATGCATGAGTCATCAAGATTGTGAATTTTATCAAGGGAATGCACTAACACGCGGCTTTTCGTGAATTACGTCAGGCGGTGAAGCTGAATATACGGACCTACTTTATTATACAGAATTGTGGCTCTTTCGCGGAAATGTACTAATCGAGTATAGACTCTCAAAACTAAGTCGAAATTTTTATAGTTGATCAAAAAATATTCTCGCAGATAGTTTAAAAACTCTTCCTGGTTTGCATATCTCGCATATTAGCGGACATTTTTGAGAGTATAAATATTAAACAAAGAATTGCAAGGAAAATATTAATATCCTTTTCAGAGAGAGAAATAGTTCAGCGTTTGGATTAAAGCAATTTGGAGACAGAAAGTAGAACATAACAAGATAGCTTTCTTTCAAGGTTAGCTTTGTTTTTGGAAGATTGAGAAAATTTACTTTGCTGACACAAGGATACAATGTAGACTCTTATCAAACTCAGAAAGTGGTTTTCAGATTACTTCCAGATCTTGATACATGTACTGTCAGTTGGATTGTAGATCTTTTTAAATGTGAAATTGCTATGATACCGAAGAACCTTCAGTTTGGCGAAGCAATTCTTGAACTTCGATCTAATCTGAAGCACTTATTCAATTGAGAGTAAATCAATCTGTCGTCTTTTGGATATCAAAAGCTGCAAGAGGCTTCAAATTGCACATGAAGAGGCGGTTAAAAAATTGCTGCCATTTGGAACAACATTTGGTGCGAACAAGCTTTCCCCACTCAATGAACATAAAAACTAAGACAGAAATTGTTACACGCCGAAGACTGTATTCAAATCACTTTACATCAAAAAGTCCCAATTTTGAAGCAACTGCTCGAACATGAACAACATCATTTCTCCAAAACGTGAAGAAGAATGTTTCAATTATTCTTTTTTTTCTAATTTTTTCATTCTAATTTTGTTTGTACCACCATTATTATTATTATTATTATAATTGCTACATATCCCAAATTGTCAACCCTAATTGTACCCCCAATGGTTTCAATTTTATATATATTACTTATATTACTATTATTACCGTTTGTATTACTAGGTATTACTTGAAATGAATAAATGATGTTAAATTTTTTAGTATTGTTTTCTTTTCAAAATTATCATGGGGGGCTATAATATGAAAGATGCTAAAAAGAGGCAATTTCGGTTCCCCCCCCCTCTTCGCCATGGGGTAATATCAACTTACACAAAAATATTTTGGGGTAATGATTAAAAAACTTCCCCCTGACCGCTGCTCTAGAGGCTTGGTGGTCGCGCCTTGAAACACTGCTCTTTACAATGGTGTTTGCTTGCTTCTCAAATAGGAATGTTTATTTTTACCTGGATATAGATAAGGGTTTTGAAATCACAGAGTTATTTTATTTAAACAATACGCACTGCCCAGTAAAAGGTCTTTCTTTTCCAGACTTTTCTCTGACCTCAACACACTTGCTCCCCAAGGCTAGTATAGTGATTTTATAATTATTTCCTGTGGTTTAAATTTAATGTAATATACTTTGCTGTAATTAAAATAGAAATCACATAAAGTTTTATTTAAATTTAAATATTTCTGAATATTTTGAGACGAAATAGAATAAAATAAATATGAATGGGACGAATGATCCGTACCAAAGCCAAAACGACCAAGCCTTCCCCCTCATTCATAAAAAAACCACAAATGTCATGTGCCAGATGAAAGAAACTAAATAACGCTGGACATAATGGAGAAATTTAGATCCAATCAGTGTACATTTTTGTAGCACAAGGAAGAAACATCATGAAGATACATGTGCGAAACATGCAATGTGGGTCTATGCATGTACTAAAAAGACAAAACATGCTTTGAACAGTGTCACAAAAAATATTTGTTCTTTAAAACTAAAATAAATAAATAAATAAATAATAAAAACACTGAGTCTTTTTTTATCCTTATTTTACTGAGTTTTTTTAATCCATGTAGCCTGACGTCCTTATCATGTAGATACTTATACTTTCACTGCTATAGAAAAATTACATAAATGTTTGTTTTTAAATTTTTTCTGACAATTTAGTTTGTAAAATAATGTAAAATACATATATTATTCAATTCTTACATGCATTTGTTTTAAAAAATTCGTAATTTCGTCATTTATTGGAAACGCGCACTGAAAAAGGTAAGTTTTTTTTTCCTACTACCTAAGTAAGTTTCAAAGTCCTAGACGCGCGGTGGTTTTATAGTGCGACCACCACCCACAAAACAATGGGCAAGAGTAGATTTTTTTTTATTCCTATATTATTTGTCTCTAGGATCATAATATTCAATTTCTAGAGTTTTTAGTTAAAAAAAAAATACAAAAATAATATCGCGCACGCCAAAGGGTTAATAGTACTGAGTGAAACATTAAAAGTACAGAGGTCTCTGAAGAATAAAAGATAATTTTTTTTCAGCCAACATACACAAATATGTTCTAGTAAAAAGATGAAGCATAAAATGGCCAAGTGAATCCTTGATTAGTCCCAATACAAAATTCACATACACATAAGTAATAAACCTTCCCATTTAATTTGTCCAATATTAAATTGGCTTGATTTTCATATTGTATAATAGATAATTTAAAATCTTTCATATGCTGAATGTATTTTAAATGTAAGAATTAAGTACTGGTATCATTTAATAATAAATGAAAATATTAGCTGTTGTATTTAAATTTAAAAGTTTGAAATTCTATTGCAACCTTCAAAAATCATGTTTGGTTCCGAGTTTGGAAAAAAAAAACTAAATCTCCTATTACCGATATTTTTCTTTTTTATGACAGAGAATTAATCCTGGTAAAATCTAAAAATTTAATATTGATTGTGAAAACAAATGGTAATGTACTGCATTTAAATCATCATGAAATTACACAAAACAGAGACGATTCAGTTATCACATCTCACAAAATTTAACAAATATCGTCATGGTACATAGGCGGAAAAAAATTCTTTAATTATATAAAATATTATTGTAGTATTCTATGGTTTCTTCAGAGTATCATTTTAGAAACTGTGCTACACATATCAGATTTGATTTTGAAGTATAAAAATTATTTATCATGTAACATTTGATTTTCTCCATATTTCTTGGCTAAATTTCAGTACATGCTATTTTTCTTCTATTAACACTTACCATCATTTTGTCTGCTTTTGCCTCACTTATACCCTTGATCGCTAGAAGTTCCTTCTTGGGAGCAAATGCAACAGATTCTACAGTATAAAATCCTGCTTCCTCAAGCTTCTTAATATCATTTGCAGATATGCCATTTCCCTAAATAAAAAAATCAGCAGAAATTTTAATAAAATGAACATATATATGTACACACACACACATATCACATATGCAGCTAAAGAAAACAAAGGAAATAACCTGTCAAATCAGCTAAATTGATAGATGATATAAGGTGTCACCTTAGCTGTAGCAGTGTTTCATCAAATCCCAGTTTGTTAATGCATTACCCAATAGATGATGTTGCGGTATTCCCAGCTGCACACGCATAGTTAATGAAGTTGAAAGAATATCCTCATTTCTGGAGCTTCTTCACAGTTCGTTGCATGATGGATTCCTCCAGATCAGCACAAATAGCAATTATCCAAATTCTTCGCACAGAAGGGAAGCATGCTTCACAAATTTATCACTGGGTGAAAGACGTGTATGAAGAGCAGTGTCGTGGAGAGTGCACCATATTCCGGTATTATCAACATTACAAGCTGGACGTGTAAACACCAAAACACACTTGCCATGCCCTGCGCAGGCACACATTATTACCAATGGTGCTATGATTTCGGTTGTGGAGGAGTGCATACAGCAGATTAATTGGATGACCACAAGTGAAACTGATGCTGAACAGTTAATAAATAAAGGAACTATGCATCACATAATCCATAAAAAGCTTGGTTATGGCAAAGTTTGTGAACAGTGGGAACCCAAAAATCTGTCAGGAAATCAGAAGATGGTGAGAATGGGTGTTTGCCTTACCATCTGTTAAGATACACTGAACAAGGAATGTATTTTGTTGCTAAGATTGTGGCATATTATAAAACTTGAGTCACCACTTTGACTCTACCTCTAAATAGATGAGCATAGAACGGCAATATTTCAGCTCCCCTCATCAAAAAAATGCCCAATCTACCCATAAAGCCAGAAAAATGATGCCTGGTTTCTTTTTTTGACTAAGAAAGACCTCTACTCATGGACTGGCTACAATGGAGTGCAATAGTTACATAAAGTATATAAATATAGTTATATAAAGCATTTCTCCCGCCTTCTTAGTGTAGTGATCTGTACACTGGCACGTATTCCAGAGGTCCGTGGTTCGATTCCCGGCAAAGGTGTTGCTCATTTTTAAAGTCTCTTGCTTTGAAATAAACTAATAGCTCGACAAGTGGCGTCCAAACTAAAAAAGGTCGTGGATGACGATTCTCCTCACCAGGATTTGGCAATTGGATGGCCTAAAAACCCCAGTCACCCTTTAAAAGGGGGAGTACATAAGGTATTTCTCCCGCCTTTTTAGCGTGCCTTTGTGGTGTAGTGGTCTGTACACTGGTGCGTATTCCAGAAGTCCGCGGTTCGATTCCCAGTGAAGGCGTTGCTCATTCTTCAAGTCTCTTGCTTCCAAATAACCTAATAGCCCTACATTTACTCCTGAGCAGTATTGCAACACATTGCTCAAACATGCCATTAAGAACAAACCCAGGGAGAAGCTCTCAAATGGGATAGTGCTTTTCCAGGATAATGCTAGGACCCATGTGGCCAAGAAGACTCTCAAGCTCCTTGAACAGTTTTGATAGGAGGTCCTGCAAGGTCATTTATACAGCTCTAATATCCTCCCATGTAATTCTCACATCTTCAGCCCTTTAGTAAAATCTCTATCTATATGATTAGAAGGTCACAAGTTCACCCGTGACAAGGATGTGCAGGACACCATGGAAAAACTGGATCCGCCAGCAACCCAGTTTCTACAGAGAAGCCAATCCATTCCTTTCATACTTGCTGGGATCAATGTCAACAGCAATCATTTACAGCTGTACTGTTCCACACGAACTGTAACTAAAATATTGTTATTAAATTTTCTTTACGTGTAATCGTAGTCTCCTTTCCGATTGGGCACACCTTATATATAGGATAGTCTTACAACAGGTGACCTACTGACCTACAACCCATCAAAGAATCAAAATCAAAGAAAGTTATAACATTACTGTTTTAAATCATACAAAAAGCAGCATTACATAAATAAAAAATAAATACAAAAAATTATATATACTTACTTTTAATAAAGAAGACTTATTACATTACCAGATTATTATTTTCAGTTATACAAAATTACCAGAAAAATGCACTGATGTAGTCCTAAAGAGACATCATATATTTTGAGACATTTAAAAAAGCAGTTAAAGTGATCCAATTTGTCATCTATCAAATAAAGCAACCCTATTTCTCAATAGTCATCATTTTACTCCTATAATCAGATGTAAAATAACACTGATAGCCATTCTCATTTTTCATTCACACAAGCATTGCTGAAAAACTTCCACCACAGTTCAGCAAGTTGATGGAGCAGCATCATGTTTGTTGTTACTATCATATTCTGTATAATTTCTTGTTTAAGATGACTTCATAAATATTCCATCCTCTCAGTGTAGAAGCATTTACAAAATTCGGCTAATCTTTGGAATATGGTAACAGGTAGTTTGGCGACACTTTGGTAAGGCGATAAAGGTTACTGGCTAGAACTTTAGCAGTGTACATGGATAAAGTCAAGAGTGTGAGCAATGCCATTTTTGTGCAATTCTGGGATGTTTTTTTAAGTGAAAATTGGTCGGTGCGTACATGGATACCGTGTATGTGCAATTCTTAAAAACGCGGCAAGTAGTGGGCGATTCTGGTACTGTCTCCCAATTTTTGCACCCCAATCTTCTTCGTCATGATTAAGCAGCTTTTTGTTTCATAATAAGTTCTAGCATAAGCGTGTAATTTCGGCTAGCAGATTGTTGGAAAAAATGTTGAGTAAAAAAAAAAAAGCTTTTACTTTGTGAAAACAAAATGGCATCCAAAACAAAACTAGCAGGTTGCTGTAGCAGGGTTGGTCGCCAAATTTTCGCCAAAAAATCGCCAAGTTACCATCCAAAGATGAACCTACAATTCATCTCACGATTAACTGTCATGTGGGTGTACTTACACTGACCACATGTCACAATAAATACTTGTTTCTTGTTCTACCTCTATCTATATGATTAGAACTAGTGTCTGTCTTACCATCCAGTTACAAAATATCATCACCATAAGGGACCTAAACCCAGGGGTTTTCAATGTGGCTTTTATGATTTTGGATGTCATATTCATTTGAGTCAGAGGATGATAGTTGCCTTGCTAGCTATATTACCTGGAAGCAGCTGCCCATGACTGGCCTCATGTTTCCTAAGGAAACAATACATTATTGATCTCTTATGCATTCTACTATGCCACCCTTCTTCCAAGCATGGCAACCAAACATGGAAACATACACTTCTCTTCCTAAATTAAACCAGTTGCACACTGCATTAAAAACCTTGTCTGTATATTGCACCATTCTAACCTGATTCATCAATAGGTTACAATCACAATCTCCAAGACTTCTTGTATGGACAAGCAGCTATTACATACACCATTTAAATCCATGTATATGAAAAAGTTTGTCTTCTGGAATGAATATTATGTTTGGTATGGCTTAATTTTGCATTTCTGACTTCTATATTCTTTATGCTGCCCACTGGGTTGATCTAATAATCACCCATATTTCACCACCACATTTACTGCACACTGGTGTTACATTGGATAATAAATCTTGAACACAATGATGTTGCAACGGAAATTCCCAAGTCGCAATTACAGAAACAGAATACTACTACATCTTGATGGCACTATTCACAATTAACAAATCGATAGATTCACTATTTTATTACTGCACCACAGGAGTGTTATAAGAATGCAGTGAGTTACACTGATACAGACAAACAGAGAAGCAGTCAAGTCAGATTACATGATTCATACTCATAACCAAATGATTGTTGCAGGAATAGATAAAAAATTATTCAGATAAGTAATTTTAAAAATTGTAATCATTAACTTTTCATTCTTATAATGATAAAGCAAATACATCAATATATAAAAAAAGAAATTTATAACCAAAAACTGGGTAACTGGAGTTGTTTTCTAATTTCAGTATACAGCTATGCTATTTCCAGCTATGACTGCATGTCAACAATTCATATATAAGAAAATAAGGATGATCTTTACAATATGGTAACTGGTAGTTTGGCGACATTTTGGAGGCGATAAAGGTTACTACCTGGGACTTTGGTAATAATGTGAGCAGTACTCAGTTCCGATTACGCATTATTTTGTGTGAGGGAAATGAGAGGTCATGGGATATGTCATGTGATATTAATGGACGAATTACGGTTCTTTAATCGGAAAAGGGGAGAAATCGGGAAAAAATCTGGAAATTTTGTATTTGGCCTTATTCTTTTCTGCGTTGTGTGAAACAGTGTTCGTGAATTTTTGGATCCCATGGCCGTAACTAAAGTGAATTCGAAATGGGGTTATTTTATGTATGTATTAATTTAATGTATGTGCTCATTTATATTTTAAGTAGTGTTTTTGAATTTCATTATATTTTAATTAAATGATAGTTATTTTGTGAATTTTATGTTTGTAGGAATTTGGTAACGTTTTAGTTGAAGTAAACGTGCATGGAAATAATTTAAATATCTGACACTAAGTATTTGTAATGGTTGCGGTATGAATTCGTTGGTGACGTGTATAATGTAATAGATGATTTAGAGGTAAAAGTTTTTGGATATTTTATTTATTTTATATGTGGAAATGTTCATTACTTTTTCGCGATCAGGTAATTTCATATATGTTCTTTTTACCGGGTTTAAAGATTGAGAAGAGAAAATTGTCATGTATTTTCGTGAAATTTTTCTAATTTATGAGAAAAAAGCAGACGTGTACATGGTTTAGTGATATTTTAATTAAATTATAGTTATTTTGTGAATTTTATGTTTGTAGGAATTTGGTACACGTTTAAGTTGAAGTAAACGTGCATGAAAATAATTTAAATATTTGATACTAAGTATTTGTAATGCTTACGGTATGAATTCGTTGGTGACGTGTATAATGTAATAGATGATTTAGAGGTAAAAGTTTTTGGATATTTTATGTATTTTATATGTGGAAATGTTCATATTTGGAAAGGGTAAATACTTTTTCGCGATCAGGTAATTTCTTATATGTTCTTTTTACCTGGTTTAAAGATTGAGAAAATTGTCATGTATTTTCGTGAAATTTTTCTAATTTATGAGAAAAAAGCAGTGTACATAGATATAGTGAAGAGTGTGCGCAATGCCATTTTTGTGCAATTCTGGGATATTTTTTTAAGTAAAAATAAGTCGACGTGTACATGGTTACTGTGTATGTGCGATTCTGAAAAACGCGGCAAGGAGTTTGCGATTCTGCACTTTTTCCCAATTTTGCAGTTAATATTTGTCATGATTAAGCAGTTTTGTTAGATAAAATTTCTAGCATAAGTGTAATTCGGCTAGTAGATTGTTGGAAGAAGTGTTCAGTAGATAAAAAGAAAAGAAACATGTCTTTACTTCGTGAAGACAAAATGGTGGCGGGAAAAAAAAATAGAGGGTTGCTGTAGGAGAGTTGGTCGCCAAATTTTCGCCAAAAAAACGCCAAGTTACCATAATGTAAAGATCAACCGAAAATAAAAATTAGCTGAAATTTAAATATATTAACCATTCATATTTTATCATTTATGATAAATAAAATCCCAAATTTACTCTAGCATTCTTTAAAAGTTTTAGAACTTAGAAAGTGTTTCATGATGAGAAAAGTTTGGAAAACATTGGTTTAAATTGTGATCTTCATTATGTTGGCCCTCATGTTATTTGACTTTAAAATAATTTTTATATCTTAATTGGGTTAGAGTAGAGAAGAGGGTACCCCTTGTATTATCGCGAAGTTGTTGTTTCATTTATGATAGCCTGAGTAGTTGAATGTTATGGGAAACCTATTATGACATAATCGGTTGTACGATTGAGTTAAATTCGCAAGGGCTTGTGGTGTGTGTGTTGGTTAGGAAGTATATTGCTTGTTTTTTGGTTAACGGTAAAATGGCTGAATGTGGCAAGATTAATTTGAAGTTTCTATACAATTTGGAAAGAAAGGAGAAAAGGGCATTACTTGACTGGTGTGTAAATGAAGGTTTACATACTAGCCATTATTAGGTGTTCTGTTTGTAGGAAGGAAATGCATATGGTTGAACGTGGGAAATGCGAACGGTTGAACGTCGCTACGGAGGATATTTTTTACTCTTATTTTGTGAATTTATGTGGCGATGCTAGTATACAGATTCTAGTTCAGATAATTTTAGGAAGTTTTTGGATGCTGTTAAGGAATTTTGTTTGATTGAAGACGTGTTAATTTGTAAATAAAGTAATTGGGTATTTCCTTTGTGTAGTGCAAAGATGAATTTCCTTATACAGTCAAAAGTCGTTAATTCGGACACCCATAATCCGGACCTCAAAGCTAAAAACTTTCTGCGCATGCGCCGCGTTGGCACATGCGCACAGGCGTTTTACGCGCGCGCATAAGACTTTGACTACTGCGCATATGCGTGTGCGCAAGTGCAGAATACATTTTCGCCTGTGCGTTTAATGTATAACGGACGGTGTAAGCTAAAATTATCTAATTATCTATTTCAGTTAATGTTAATGATTGCGTTGTTCCTTAATCTTCGGATTGGATCGCGCTTATTATTTTTTGCAGACTGTAAGAGCAATTTTATAAATATAAACTTGAACTTTCGATTATGTCAAATAGAATTTCCGATGCTGGAACTTCCAAAGGATATACAAAACGAAAGTACGTTTCGATGTCCAACAAACAAAAAGTGGAATTGCTGCAAAAAATGGATAAAGACATGAAGAATGTGACAGAGAGGTTAGTGAAAACGAAAAAATTTCGATTGACAAGTTAGTCGGTGTTCTCGGCACAGCAATTAACGGGACTTGAACAGCGGAACTTTGTAACTGAACAAGGAATTATGTCTGTTTATAGAATTAAAGAGAAAGTATTATCACATAAAACGAAGCAACTTAAACAACTTACATTGAAAGAAATGTTTTAATAAAATAAATAAATATTAAGCTTTTTTTTTTTTTTTTTGTAATTTTTTGATACCCTTAAGATCATAATTGTTCTTTATTTCATAAATTACGGTTTCATATTTTTAATTTTAGAATTTCTGCATGCCATCTTACGAAATTTAAACTGATGATCTATAATCCGGAATCGCCGAAGTCCCGATGAGTCCGGATTAACGACTTTTGACTGTATTAATTTAGAAGTCAAACAGCAAAAATCAGTGTTATATTTTCAAATTTTCACAAGACTAGTTTCGATGGTTTTACCATCGAAATTAATATTATTTGTTCGGCGTGTTATTGTAAAGATCAACCGAAATTTCTTTTTTTATGTTATTTCATTGTTTGATTTAAAATATACAGTCAAAAGTCGTTAATTCGGACTTGTTGGGACTTTCAGTTAAACAACGCAATCATTAACATTAACTGAAATAGATAATTAGATAATTTTAGCTTACACCGTCCGTTATACATTAAACGCTCAGGTGAAAACGTATTCTGCATTTGCGCACACGCATATGTGCAGTAGTCAAGGTCTTACACGCACGCGTAAAACGCCTGTGCGATTGTGCCAACGCGGCACATGCGCAGAAAGTTTTTAGCTTTGAGGTCCGGATTATAGATCATTCCGGATTATGGGTGTCCGAATTAATGACTTTTGACTGTAGTTTATTGAGATTATATATTTTTTTTTTGGTTGGCTGTTACTTTGACTTTTTAAGTGAATATAGTTTGTGTACGTGGATAAAGTCAAGGGAGTGCGTAATGCCAAGTTTATACAATTCTCTGATTTTTTTTAAAGTGAATATAGGTTGATGTGTACATGGATACCGATTTTGTGCAATTCTTTGTCTTGTTATTTTGACTTTGTGTAGCGGCACTACACAAGCCAAAATAACAAGGCAAATTGTACAAACTCGGTATCCATGTACCACCAAAAATCGCCAAGGGGTACCCATAAATATATTTTTACCCTTAATTGCAATGTCTCTGCAATATACATTGTCTAGTCATATACAGAATGTTTGCTAATTTTCCATTATCAGAATCAGAAATATATGTATGAATGTGTATGAACATATAATATATATTCATTTTTGAATCCGGTCCGGATAATAGAGAGGTATGCAATGTTAAAAAAGTTAAAACTCTTATTCAGAATTAAAAGCAAATTTTGCTCCTGAAGGAAAGTGACCTGTATTCGAGCGCCTTTGAAATCAATAAAGTGTTATGCAAAATCTGCATCAAACTAAGAATGCTATTTTGCCGGATTTAAAATTTTACATCAAAGTGTACATCTTTCATTTGAGTTAAAAGTATTAAAATAAATTTAATTCTATTAGTTAAATTATATTAACTACTTGGTTATTATAACTACTCATATACTTAAAAAATGAAAATTGAGTAAAGCATGTTGAATGAACATTTTATAATATAAAACTGATATTAATTTATGCTTTAAAATGAACTATTTAATTACTGATTATTGAGAAGTCTTGATTTACATGCCACATTTTCAACGAATGTATAGTACAGCAATTAATTTAATCAAGATTTAAATTATATTTTTTTAAATACCTTCAGATTGTATGTCACTTACTACACTAAAATAATTTTTAAAATGTTTTTTGCATTTCCTAATCTATCAAGAGAAACATGGTCCACTCCTTCAAGTATGTTGCTATCACAAACAATATTAGCTTTTCATTAAATAATAAAATATATACTTTGAGGACACAGCTAGAACACATTTTTCTAAACATAAAACTACATTCATAATTAAAATTCATACTTGATATTTCTATTTTACATTATCAGCATCTTCTCTATAGAAAAATGTATTACCCATACTATTTATGCTCACATATACAAATAGATTAAAAATGTGTCACGTTTAATAATTTACATGCAAAGAAATGATAAACAGTTCCTAATAAAATGCAAGAATACGACCATCACATGAATATATTTTACAGCAACTATAGTTAATTAAAAAAAAAAACCTACACTTTAAAATCACTACGGAACAAGTTTTCTATTATAAAAATACATTTCATACTTCCAATTTCTTTATTCTCTGTGGACCAGATTCTTCAGCCTCTTCAACTACAGCAGCTTGTTGTTCCATCGCGGACATGTTTTATTTTAAACTAAAGTTCGTAATGTTTAACAAATAGAGCACAGATTAAAGAAGAAAAGCAGTTTGATAAAAAAAAAAAAAAAAAAAAATAGTCTGTGGTTTGTTTTGCAAACTGGATTCAACGACAGTTCGGAACTTACTGGTGAAACGCTTTCGGTATTACAAACATCAACCCAAAACCAACTGCATACGCTATACAGCTTTAATTATTAGAAAAACCCTACGAATTCTCATCTAATACAATGAAACTTTTGTTACATTTACAATTTCAGAATTTTTGAACGTAAACATCATAACACAACACGGAGATCTAACTGCTATTCAGAAAACCGCCAGAATGTTGAAATTGTTCCGGAGCTAAAAAATAATAAAATAGCAGAAAATATACAGTATTATTTGATGTTAAAAATCTTTCTTAAAAATACGAATTATTATTAAAATGTGTTTAAAATATTTTAAAGAATCTTATCCTGTAAGTATGTTCTTAATTACACTCAAAATTTCTGCGGGCTACTGAAAACTTCAACAGACAATTAACCAATCAGAAGTTGTTGGGATGAGGAGGAGGAGGAAAAGGGATATGAAAGACCACGGCGGGGGAATGCGCGTGTTATTTTTGTAGCGAAAGAGCAGTAGTCGAAGTAATTGCAGAAATGCCTCCGAATAAATTTCAAGATGTTACAACAATTTTATTTGATTTGGATAACACTCTAATAAATACAAAAGAGGCCGATCGATTAGCATGCGAACAAGTAAGCATTTATTGACTGCTTTTTTTTTAATGATTTCCTAATTTAATTTATGTAATGAATATCTAATAATCCAGATACATATTAAATAGCGTAAAATAATTATTTTTAATTACGAAGTCTGAGAGGATAAAATTTTATATTTACCAAAGAAATATGCATGAGTTTGTGAACATGAAATAAATATAATCCAGCGAATAAAGAAAATAATACTTTTAAATTAATTAAAAGCTATCTTATTTACCAATTTGTTTACACTACATTAAAAAAAAATAAGCTTTAAAAGATGAAACTTTGAACTTTAACAATTACATTTATAAGCCCACTTCTACCCAGTAAATTAAAATTTAAAAAAAATGAATTTTATTAAATTATATTTTGTTCAAATTTGATTTTTGGCAACAGTATATATTTAGTTGCAATCTAAATGATAGATGTGACAAGTGCCTTTTGTGAGAAAATATTTTTTATTTCGCTTTTAACTCTATCTAAACAAAAATTTCAAAGTTATCCACAATTGCATTAATATTCTAAGTAGTCTAAAAGTATCTATTTTGCAAAAAGCACAGACGCAATTAAAAAATTTCAACATCAATTTTATTTTTGAGAATATGACTTACCTCAGTTATTTGCCATTTAAGAATATTTAGATATATTTTAAAATTATTAAAACCTAATTTAAAAGTTTTCTTTCAAAAGCCTGGATTTTTCCCCGGGAAAAATAATTAAATTTTGTTTATTACAATATTTGTTTAACAAAATTAAATTTTGTTTCGTTTCACGTAATTGAAAGAGAGCTTTTTTAGCACCAGAAGTGCTGTTAGCTTCAGTCCTCACTTTCCTGTTAGTATAATTTTTGTGTCCACATTACTTTTCAAATAAAAGGATGTTGCCATCAAATGCTATCGCCATGTATTGTTTTTAAAGAACTAATATAGTTAATATAAAACATATGGCAACACTTAGCACTATATAGGGAACTCTAACGATATGCTGTTTTTAAATATTTTGTGATTTTTAAGTTGAATTTTGTGGCGTATGTGTGAAGAAAGTGATGTCTAAAAAAGAGCTAAAAAGAAAAAAAAAAAGTGTAGGTCGTCTTGTTATGAAAACTGAACATTGATATGAGAAAAAGATATATGGCAACACTTTATCAGGAGTTCTAAAAGTATGCTTCTTTTATAATTGTTTGATTTTACTGACACATTTTGTGTGGCGTAAGGGCGAAGAAAGCGACATTTAATAATAAAATTAGGAAGAAATATAAAATCGCGTTAGCAGAAGTGAGTCTAAAGAGCAGATTGATAAACTGAGAGTTCAGCGACGGCATAAAAAACCTTCTGGTACGACGCTAAAATTCGAATGTTTTCACGTTTTTATCCTTAAGTTCTGGAATGCTTTTTTATACGATGCTCCAATGGCTTTTGTCTTTAATTTCATATATTTGCAAAACTGTAATTTTCTATCTTTTTCTATGCAAAATTTATTTTATATTGCATGTAATCATTTCGTTCACCTCATATAATTCTAAATAAAAACGTAGGGTTTTTGCAGTTTTATATTTTTGCAATAAGTAGCCCAAAGGGGTAATTTGTCCAGAAGGGCTATTAATTTCGTTTTGGTATGTTGCGTCGTCTACTATAAAACGGTGTTTCACTTTTCAAATTGTTGCCACCAAATATTAGAGCCCTACATTATACAGGGTGTTTATAAAGTCCCGGACCCATTTTGATGTTTAATAACTCATAAAATAATAACGGTAGATTAAAATTACTAACATAAATGGTTAGATAGACTCAAAAAGTTTCATGACCCTTGTCAATGAACTTCCACGTGTGCCCCCTTCGTCGCACGGAGAATATCAAGTCGCAGAGTCGTAGCTAGGGTTTTCAGCGCCCAGGGACAACTGAAGATTTCGCCCCCCCTACTGCTTGCCAAGGATGGAAAACATTTAATTCTAAAATGTCGTAACATCAGTTTGGCGCCCCTTGGATCTTGCGCCCGGGGACAGATGCCATCTTGCCCCCCTCTAGCTACGCCCCTGTCAAGTCGATATTCAATTTCACGCCAGGTACCGGCAAGCATGTCGGCATCCACAGAGGCTATTGCGGTCGTAATTCTGTCTTTAAGGTCATCAATGTTCGACCAAAGAATCTCTAAGGTTCTTTGGTTCCTTAGATATTCTTTGGTTCGACACTCTCCTCCTGTAAACGTTGTCCTTTACAAATCCCCAAAGGAAAACGTCCATGACATTGCAATAGTTGCCAAAAACAAAAGAGAGAAAAATGCAATTAATAAGCAGACGATATTTAGAAAATACAGATATTTAGACTGGAAAATGAAATTATCTGAAATTAACCACACGCGCAGATGATATTTACAGAAGTAAAGATATTCAAACCTGAAAAGGAAAATATATAAGTTAGTCCATCAATAAATGCCATAAGTTTGTTTATATCTTCATTATTTTATGAGTTATTAAACATCGAAAATGGGTCCGGGGCTTTATAAACACCCTGTATTTACATAAATAAAATAATGAAGAATCTGCATGAATGTATATATGTTTCTTGCTCTATGAAAAAACAACGGAACATAAAGACATCAGATTTTGAATAAAGTATTCGAATATTGGCATCTGGAAGCCCAAATTTGGAATTTGTTTTATTATCTATTTCATATTTTATAAACCTTTAACGAAATTTTTTATTAACAAACTCAACGATTTCAAAGCGAGCAATGGCGACATTGTACGAGGGGGCGAAATTATCTCCAGCGCGCGAGACTGTGTACCGGAAATTCTAAAGACATGCTGTTATTAAATACTTTGTGATATTGCTTTTGAATTGAATTTTGCGGTTTAAGTGCCATGATATTTAATAAATAAATCTGACACATAAAATGTTAAAAAAGACGCCCCTTTGAGCGTAATATAAAATCTGAAAGCTTTCAGATGTTTATTTATTTTATTACATGGTTTTATTTTACTTGTTTATTCGGCTGTGGAAAAATGTTTGAAATTAATATTCAACGACAGAAATCCAATATTTTCATCTTTATTGTTGTATTCATATCATATTTATTTCTGTTGTATTAATAAAAAAAAGGGGGAAAATTTCCTCCAAACGGAGGTGTATTGAAATTTCTAACATATATGTAAATTATAATTAAATTATGATTATTAAATTATGGCGATTTCTTAATAATCGTGTATTCGATAACAACATATGTTTTTAAATCAGTGATGATTTTTAAGGAATGATGTGATCGGATTTCTAAATCAAAAAGAAATTTAAATGAACTGAATGGAAATTTATGCATTTCGGGTAACTGGGAAAATCTTGGAGAGAGGAGGTTAGGAGCATAATTCGTTGTAGATTATCTTTAGAGTTGGCGACACGTTTTTGGTTGATTTTCAAAATCAGTTATTGCTTTTATAGTTAATACATATTTTAAAAATATATAATTTAATTTCTATATCCCAAACGTGAAATTTTACGAGGCCTGCGATGACTTCTGAGCATGGTATTCTGAACAATGCATTAAATCCTACAAGTTTTCCTTATACCTTCTGTTCAACCGGGGGGGGACAGAAAGAGGCATTTCGTTTATTTAAAATTTTATAATAACAGTCTGGTTCATTTCGAGGTTAGTTATTCAAATATATCGATGGTATGGGAATATGAATGGTTTACATAAACAAAATCAAAAAGTCCGTGCAACAGGTACCTAAGGAGATAAAAGTAAACTTGTGCCCTCTTTCATTCGGCAACATCAGAAAAAACTAAAGGTAAACACGTGTCAACAAAAGTCCTTACCTGGCCCTTATTTTCTCAACCGATGTTAGTAGATATATACAGTTACAAAAATGTTTTAAATGACTCAAAATCTTTACATTTAAAGAAATTAATTTTGTAAAAATTAGGAAATCTAAGTTTCTATATGTTCCTTCGGTCCTTAAACTTATTTAAAAAAAAGTTTTGTATTCGTTATAAAAAATAAAACAAAAAACGTTTTTGATTCCCGTACGACAAAAAATTGGTCGAGATATTTAATTTATAAGTTTACTATTTTTGACGTTATATTCAATTTGCACTAAGGGGTCGATTAATAAACAAATTAGAATTATCGAGGTGATTTATTTTTCCTTTTAAATGGCGTTCAAAGATATTCTTCTGTGATTTATTAGTGTCTTCAATTTGTAATTTTGTTATATTTGCTATGTCTAAAGAATTTTAAAAAAGCAATTTACAAGTTTTCAAAACTTAAAAATACATTTAATGTTCCTTCCTTCATTTTGGCGAAAATTTCGTCCGGCAGCGACGGCAGCGGTAAACATGGTTACAGAAAATATCAACTACAAGTTTTTACGTCGCAGATTTGCATGCGATACATCGAAAGTTGTCATTGGTTTGAGAGTATCTCGATCTAAACGCTAAGCTTTTAGTGTTGCGTTAAGTAACAGTTCTGTTTTCCACTGCAAAAAACTGGGGAGCTTTTCAGTTTGTTGGATTCGGAAAATTAGATATCCTGTTTTTAAAATTGAGGTGTTAGAGTTCTAAAAGATTTCCGGCTAGTGTAAAGCGTACCTGGTTTAATTCTCGACGTGCTGAAAAGTTTTTATATTACTATAGGTGTAAATAATTTGTAAATATAACTGTATAAATAGAATTATATTAAATGTTCAGAATTCCAGAAAGGTATTTTATTTTGTCGTTTTTGACTAAATATACCATGTCGGAATCTGTTGCAGTCAGGTGAATAAACAATAATAGCTA